ATAGCGCGCTTTCAAGCTTTTTTTCGTAAGGTAGTTGATGTGGAAATATCTTTGGTAGCTGGTCTAGAGTTTTAAAAGTGTTTTTGTATTATGTGGCTGTTCAGTGTGCTATTTAATTCCTTGAGTGAAGTCAAACCATAGTTTATTTGTCGTTTCACTTATATCCGTTCGTTCAGAAACACAAGGACACCAATGGTAGAATACAGCGATAGTCATATTAGGGTTCTTGTTTGTCATAATTTGAACGTTTGTGTACACCTTATCTGCCATTAGTAAGCACTAACAAAAGATCGGTGTGTAAGGACAACCATGGTATTTGACACAGGCCTAACATATGTATACTTATACTGGGATACGAAATCTGATTCAACATATGACTAGCAAGTATGATAATTCAGTTTTTTTATTAACTTGTGCTCAGTTGTGTCATTGATTCGAACACCTTATATTCGAATCTTCTCAAAATTCTTCTGATGGTTGTACAGATGCCACAAGTATTCGGAGTTTGATAGCGCCCTAACTAGTAACACCTTTGAAATTGAAATAAGCCAACCCAGTCAAACCAAAAGTCGGAAGTGATGGGGTTTGAAGTTATGTTCGAAAGGCTACCGATATACGGAGAAATGATCAATCCAAGTTGGCTGGCGGTTAAAGGAGAAGAGATGCACGGCATACTCACTCGTGATCTGGTGAGAATGCATGTCCGAGCGCCTTCAGCTAGGTGAGTCCACTAAAACTAGTGCGGTCAGCATCAAATGTCGAGGACTTACAGAACTATTTATTTTGGGGGATTTATTTGCCGTTACAGCTGCCTGTCTATTTGGTCATCTGCTAATCATATTCTATTATTATGTTGATGCGTGAATGCTAGAAATACGACGGCTAGTTGATACACTGAGGAATTTGGATTCATTACACTACGACGCGCGTCCTTTCATACCAACTTGACCTCGTTCGTCCCTCATCACGTATCTGCTATATCCATGTTACAGTATTAAGACACTTCTGAAGGTGTGATTTGGGTCTTCACCTTGCTGACAGACTACCACAATAACGTATCTGACCATAATTAGATCAACGTCGAACCACAGTGTGGTAGTTCTGCAGGTCTTGGTCAACTTCTATTTACCTAGTTGCTACAAAAGCAGGAATTCCGGACCACTCAACTTACAATAAAATTGAATTTTTAACTAAGTAATCAGGATCATATTTCTTCTGTAGGGTCACTGAATATCGAACAGATCACTGATCCCTGTCAAGGTCAAGGATAGTCAACGCGCATCAATCAATGATACTCCATGGACTGGCCCACGCTGCAGTGGTTATTCTTTCACTTCTGTACTTCCATAGTTGTACCTTAACTAATATATTCTTGTAATAACGTCCTTTGTGTTGTACAGTCTCCATAGCATCCATTATCTTTTGATGCGTCGATGGTTCAATCCACGTAAGGGCTGGTCGCGAAGTGTGACTTCAGCGTTAGTTGGTTCGTCCCCATTCTATACTAACTATGGTAGGCCCCCAACCATTTCGACGATAGAACATCAAAGTTGATGTTCTTATACTTCCCAACCCCTGCTCCTAGTAAGACCAGCATTCGAAGGAGAAATGGGGGAAAAAACGTTTAGAATTGTACGCAACACAGCCTACTAAGACTAAACGATACAAAGACGATTATTTTATCGCATGCTCATCGCTCATTAAAACAAGTGACTCAAAATCGGAAATGAATTTCTCTAGTGGTGGGGTTTGTAGTGGTATTCGTCCTAACCATAGAGTCCTCAAAGCTGAACATGAGATAACTGGAGAAATGCATATTCGATAATTACCACGAGGAAGTCAATAATAGAGAAGGCAGGAATATTCATCCTAAATTAAATTCATCGGTTGGCATGACTCAGCTTTGAAAGCGTGGTCATTCACATGTGGTTTATCTCTTTTATTCATGATAAATATATTGTACTATCTCCAGCCTAAGTGTGATGATTACGATAGAAAGAGCCAATGTAGACAATGGTGTGGCTTCCACTTATGATCTTATAGATTAGGTAGTCACATCATGACGTATCTATAATTTTAGGATTAGGTCTATTATCGGAGCAGTACTAATGACGAAGTAGACCATTATTCTACACATATACTACTTTAAGGTTGTCAGCAAATAGAGAGGTTTTGCCAAGTGTAAAGTGATTGCACATGTTGTTAACATGCATGGTGAACATTAGGGGTCAGATGACTGGGTCCTGGATGACACCACTAATTATGTTGTTAGCATCGGAGAAGTGCTGCTCTATTTTCACTGTATGCGTTTGATCTTTTAAGACAGATAAGATCTATTTATACATTATACTTGCCATGCGGAAAGTCCTTAACTTAAATAGAAGAGAAGAGCGTTTTACTTTATTTATTTCATCTATCCTGTTCTTACAACCTTTCCTGTGACAACCTAAATAGCAGACTGATGACGTTACATTTGCTGGTCAAAGTGGATTTACTAGCCTCGGTCGAATAAACCACTAGGGGCATTGGGATGGTCACTAGATGGTGAATGATGCATGGACAATATTAAGTGTCAGTAGAAGCCATAGAGGTCATAGCTCAACTCATTAAGTGACGTTCATAATATGTGTTTGTTTGATCTTTATTTCAGATATGCAAGATTTATTGTAAAATTTCATTCGTTTTCTAATAAACCTAAGTAATTAGGATGAAAGGATCACCAGTTAGAACAGGATAGTCTAAGAAATCATGAGCTCAACGGAAAATTACATCAGACAGATAGTTACATAAGGTTTGTTCAAATAGAGTAGGTTACGAATAATAATTATAAAACATTAGTAAGTACTGTAATGGCATTTACAGTCTAACAGCTCACCAACACACTACCCTCAATTAAAAAGACTCGCATATACATATAAAATTTAATAGAATCACAAAATATAGGTGGTTGGATAATGTCGCCATTGAAAATATTTTTTCGCACCAAAATATGTATGTTCATCTCGTGTTACCCATTAGATGTGACCAGTTCGTTGTCTGAAGTTATCAGAATGAGGAATATGATCAAAATAGGGAAAGCGCCACTGGTGCACATTAGCTGGGCATTGTGATATCATATGTTCTGTTGATATACAGACCAACGCACAAATGTATTAGCAGCATGAGGTTAGTGGATTTATCTAGCCGGAATAAGTTTAAAATCCATTCTCAAGGAAGTTAGCACATTAAGACTTTCTACTTTCATCTGATTCTATCGGGCCTCACTCCGTTTTCGCTAATACGTTAGCTTTATTCTACCGATGTACCTTCCCTCTGTTTGATGGTCATGTGTTTGCTGTGTTTGAATAGAGAGGCAGTTCTGTAGCTATCTACGGTTTGTACTACTCACTGTCGTTTCCCTTAACTTCTTCTAGACTGCCTCTATAAAGGCTTCTGTTGCCTGAGCTTGTCAGTAATTTATTCTTAACGATTGAAACCAATGGAAATATTTTGAGTCTCAACCACTTTTCCGACTACACTCAGTTTTCTTATAAATTGTATCGGCCGACCGCCGTGTCGTGGAAAATTTTTTCTGTAGAGAAATTTGCAGGGAAGGGAATTCAGTGTTAGTGAATATCGAAATTGTGTTTTTAGTACCTCTTCCCATTGACAATTTATAGAAAGCATTTTACAACCCCAGTCAGAAAACTGGATTTGCCTAGGCCAGAATGGAGGATAAATAGTAAACTCATTAAATGAAACCTGCAAACTTGACTGTCATACCAAGCCGTAGAAAGACGGATAATGTTTATGATAATTCAGAGATATATAAGGTACCAGAACTACTCAGAAATCTACAGAGAGGCACATTTAAATAGTTGCAAACCATTTATTATTCCAATGCAGAGCCATATAGGCTTATCTTCTTCATCACACAAGAGATGAGTAAATTATATTCTGTAGAATGTTCAATATTTATTCATTGACATAATTGTACTAACATTTTTTTCGCATAAAACGAGGAATTCGCGTCATGCCGAAAACTTCACAAGCCAATTGACAAATATTTTCTAGCTCACTACCAACTTTATTATAAGATCATCGGCAAATGAAATCCTTAATCATGACACTTGGCCACAACTGTCTTCACATTCAAAGCAAATTTGGGCTAATCACACGGTATAAATTCTCAGTAATAAAACAGGAAATTCAGACTTTCATTGTTTACACACTGTGAACAAAATCAAAGAATGTGTACTGTTTTATATTAGTTAATTGAAAGAATATTGGTTTCATATTTTTGGATTGTAGTTTTTAACCTTTCCTTGTCAAGGCCAAATCCTTAAGGACGTAGCCAAAGCGATAATCCAAATCCACTCGTTATTCAACCGTTGCGTCTATTAGAAATCGAACATTAACAGTTCTCTTCATTAACATTGTACACAAATCGCAAAAATAAATGGTAAGTACTTCAACAACCGAGTATGTGTTCTTAAGCTGTTCGTGAACATCTGCGAAAGACCTAAAAACTTCACAGGGGATTTTGTTTGTTTGCCAACCAAACAACCAATAAAGGGGAAGTAAAGGCGAACAAAAGGGAAAATACGTTGAAAAATAAAGAGGAAATAACGCGGAAACGCGCCACCGACGCACGCAATGACTTCGACGATCCAGTGTATATTTAGGCTAAAAGTAGACAATTGAGCGACATTTGAAACGCAGCGACATGAAGGTGAAAATTCGCATTATTCCCCTCGAACAGGAAAAAAGGCAGATATTTTGGCTCGTTTCCTCATAATTTCCCCTTTATTTTCCAACGGATTTTCCTTTTTATTGGTTATTTGGGTTACACAAACTTAGGGGAAAACTAGTAAATGTCTTTCAACTTTGGGGAAGACCTCAAAGTAGGGAGATTGGAACAATCAACATAAATTCATTTTTAAAACTATCCGTACACTTTGTTTTCATTAGGTGGATCTTCGATTGTAACAGTTCGTATTGGTTTTGGAAACACTATCGTCATGGAGAATAAACCACAATGCAGCATATCACTTGATCTAGTCAGTAACAAGGAACTACGATCGCGTATCAGAAATTCAATGTAAGTTTAGTTTATTTAAATATATCCAGTTGGATTATAGCTTATGGACGGCCTTTGCACAACACTAAAGCGACCATGAGGACGTTCGCCTATTTACTGGAGTCAAATGACGATTATGAACTTGTGTGAAGAATAAAGCTTATGATTGATGGTTAGGGTCAGGCATTAGATTAGTGTTTTCATCACGAACGAACATAAGCTAAAATGTGAAGACGCTATTTAGCCAAATGGATGAATGAATTTTGCTCCAAAGTTCAAGAACTGTTATCCTAAATTTGATTCGCCCATCCATAAATTATAGTCACGCCTAAATACTCCGTCATTAGCACTTATATTGTCTTCACCCATCAAATGCTTGGTATATAGTCAGGCTGATAGTAAAATTGATAGTTTATCTGGATACGGGTGACTATTCAGTTTTTTCACACTGATCAGCGCCATATGTCAAACTAGTCGTGAACAATGTATTCCATTAGGGTTTTCATCTGCTACTATTGTTTGAAGACACAATGTCCTAACACAAAACCTAATAGTTCTTAGAATGGTTTGAAGTATGCTAAAAATGTATTCAAAGGGGTACTCGTCAATTTTTTAACTCGTATTTTCTAAAATGTACCACCTTAGTTTTTTTGATTTAACAAATCAGGTTCCGTTTTTATCACATCTTGTGTCTAGGAAAGATAACGACTTTCAATTCATCCAAGTCTCCCTTAGGGATTCCAATACCAATTAAATAACTTGTAGGAAAAAGTTCTTTTTATACTCTTGTATTTTCGCCTCGGATTGGTCCTAATATACTCCTGGGAAAGTACATGAAATGCCTCTAAAATAGTTATAACTGTTTTTTGCACCATAACATCTAGCGACTAATTCATTCTACTTCAACGACTGTATACTAGGAGATAATATTTAGCGAGCTTTACAACAGCTTATATATCTTTAACGCTTTCCGAATTTGTCATTCAGTTTTTACATGGTAAGTTGGTATATAAGAAAGTTTCCATTCGGTTCTATGTAATTCAAATGAAGGTTTTTCCGTTTTTGTTTTCATACTTCTCCATTACCTTGTTGGTTAAAACATTTTGTTAAATGGACCATATTGAACATCATTGAATGTGTTTTCAAGACACACGTACAAATATATCCAGTCCACTTTTATTTCCTTATCGGTCATATTTTATAGCCGTCAGGTGATAGCGAGCTTTTCGACTACTTACCAAGTGCCCAACGAGCTTTTTATGGTATGGAAAATTTTAAGCTTAGTTAAATCGTTTTGGTGGAGTTTAGTTTTATGAGCTTCAACCTATCATTGTATGTTTATTTCGGTTTTCTCTCCTTTTGACCTGATTCTTTCGACATTAGTAACGAAATCCCCACGGCAACTTAATCAGTAGTGTCATATATTTTGATAGGGCTTGTTTTTGGGAGAGTTTTAGTGTTGGTCTGTCCACCTCATTTGCATTTTTGTTTCTTTAGTAAGATATTAAAAGTGTACATTTTAGAGGCAGATTAATTTTTACAATAAATGTAACTGTTCCATTTCGTTAAAACGATGTGAGATTTTATCGTAGCTAAACCTAATACTTCTGGAAATTGAGATATTTCGGATTGTTTTTTAGCATTTTGTTTATTTTAAATTATCTGGTTTCATTTGCCACGTATTTCAAATTTTACTCAGTTGAGCTTTCTAAATCAACCTAGAAATTAGTGTCTGTGCAACTTTGCAAGAACAGTGTTACTTTATCACAAGGTTAATCGTTTAACTTCAGTAATTGTTAGCATGTAAATTTGGTGATTTATTTGTGTAAATATTATTTTGCTTATAACTCCATATGCCCCCAAATGCCCTGGTACGGCCGAATGTAGGGAGAGTCCGCTCTCCCTCTCCGAATGCTTCCACATGGCCACGCGTATATAGACTCTACCAGGGAAGTCCTACTCACTGCCTTCTCACTCCAGGGGTGTTGTTTACGAAATTGAGAGGACGAAAAGCGAATACCCGGTGCTTTAACCAGTTAGGTGGACACGGAAAGTTCACCTGGGAGAGTTGGAAAACCCTGATTCCAAACCAATGGTGCACATGGGCTGGCTCCAGTATTCTAAAGGAACAAATGGCGTGTGAATCTATTGTTGATCACCAGTTACCATGGGACTGCATCTCCTTACGATGCTCCACTGCCTTGTGGATCAGACCTTTAGGTCAAAGGCTCCGGGTGTGGCCCCCTATGAAAACCACCTGCTTCAGTTTGGGAACCTGGCCAGTATCACAGCCTTCACACAAATCAAATGCAATTTGTGTGACGCATATGTATCTGGTGCTTCCTTCTACCAATATTTATGTGTTTAAATAAATAAATAAACCATATGCGATACTTGTTACTGTAAAACCATAATCTATTGTTTTGACCATCACCTCACAGTTTTTATTTTGACCTGAACTAAATCAGCTCAATAGTTGTAATTCCTAAGTCTTTCATAATAAATTTAACTTAACTGTGTCAGTTTGTACTAAGTTTTCACGTTCTTGTTTATTTAAAAATATTTATTTTGTAAATTGTCAATTCTTTTTATCTTTAGGGGTATCGGTTATTGGAATGCTTATACTAAAAGTGAAAAGTATTTATCTGAAAAACCAACAAATATGGAAATTGATTCTGCTGAATTAGCAAGGCATAATAAGTCTGATAATATGTGGATAGCATTGGATCATCAAGGAAAAAGTAAGGCTAGTTCCTGTTATTTTTGAAAGTCTTTGAAGACTGCATAGTAATTCATATTTTTTAATTTTTTTTAACAAAAGTCCTTTTATGCACGAATAGAGTTCATCATCATACTTTTCAGTGGCCGAAGGATTGACCACCACCAACGGATTGATGTTAGTAAACTGGCTGCAACTTCTGTTGCAGGTAATTATCGAGCGAAGCTAGCCTCTAGGCTAGCTACCACCCCACCGAAAAGTATAGACGAGCATTAGTTGCATCTTCACGACGCCATGAAAATGGCGAGTAAAGCCGCTTGCAGCTTCGCGAAACGTCCCGCTTACAAGCACTGGGTTTCTTCTGGCTCCTTACAACTGATGGAAGCCCGTCGGTCTACTCCGGGTGACCGTGAGTTTGACCACAAACGAAGGCTGTTACGTAATGAAATCGGGCAAAGCTTGCGTAAGGACCGGGAAGCCTGGTGGTCGGAGCGTGCTAATGGGATGGAAGCAGCAGCTGCATCTGGTAACTGCCGGAAGCTCTTCCAACTCATCCGAGCCACTGGCAGCAAGAAGTCTGGTGTGAGTGAAATAATCTACGAGGATGACGGGATGCCAATCACTAACATCTGTCGACGTCTTGGACGATGGGCGGAATTTTTCGAAGGGCAGTTCAACTGGCCTGCTGCTCCGGCAACATCAACCAGCTTGTCCTGCCCCCCATGGCCGGTGACGACTGATCCACCAAACGAGGCGGAAGTCCTCAAGGAACTCCAACTCTTGAAACGTTATAAATCACCTGGCCCAGATGACTTACCTCCGGCTCTTTTTAAAGATGGTGGTGACCTTCTGACTAAGGAATTGACTGTGTAGTTTGGAAAGGTTTGGGAGCAAGAAAGTGTTCCAACATCATGGAATGAGTCGATAGTCGTCCCTATCTTTAAAAAGGGTTCACGTTGTTCCTGCAATAACTATCAGGGGATAAGTCTACTTTCGATTGCGTCCAAACTATTGGCTTCTATCATTCTTCGTAAGTTGTTTAAAACCCGAGAACGATTGACTCGCGAGGAGCAGGCTGGTTTTCGTTCTGGTCGAGGATGCATTGATCACATCTTCACCCTCCGCCAAATGTTAGAACACCGTCATACTTATCGCAGGCCAACAATCGTAGTGTTTCTTGATATCAGGGCGGCCTTCGATTCGTTGGACAGGACTGTTCTCTGGGATTGTCTATTGAAGAAGGGTGTGCCTGAGAAGTTCATTAACATCTTAAAGGCCCTGTATACGAACACCTCAGGCAGAGTGAGGGCATACAACCACCTTTCTCCCTTGTTCCATTCGAGCAGTGGGGTTAGACAGGGTTGACCGATCTCACCATTCCTCTTCAACTTTGCCATCGACGACATCCTGGAAACAGCTCTGATGGATGTAAGTAATGGCGGTGTGGATATGTTGCCTGGAGAACGACTTCTCGACCTTGAGTATGCGGATGATATTGTCTTACTGTGCGATAATGCCCAAGGCATGCAATCAGCACTTAATCAGTTGGCAATCAGTGTCCGCAGGTACGGCATGTGCTTTGCACCCTCCAAGTGCAAAGTACTCCTACAAGACTGGCAGGATTCTAATCCTGTACTCACCCTGAATGGTGAGGAGATCGAAGTAGTTGAGAAGTTCGTGTATCTAGGTAGCTATATAAGTGCTGGTGGTGGCGTGAGTGATGAGATTGATGCACGTATAATGAAAGCCAGATCGGCTTATGCCAATCTGGGCCATCTTTGGCGCCTTCGTGATGTTAGTCTGGCTGTAAAAGGTCGGATCTACAACGCGTCGGTGAGAGCAGTTTTGCTCTATGCTTGTGAAACCTGGCCTCTCCGAGTTGAGGATGTTAGACGTCTCTCTGTGTTCGATCATCGTTGTCTCCGAAGGATTGCTGACATACAGTGGCAACACCTTGTTAGTAATGCAGAGGTTCGGCATTGTGTGTTGGGGCGCAGAGACGATAATTCAATTGGTGTCACCATCTTGAAACACCGACTTCGGTGTCTTGGACATGTTTTACGAATGTCGTCCCAGAGACTTCCACGTCGTGCATTATTTGCCGACCCTGGGACTGGTTGGAAAAAGCGGAGAGGAGGTCAGTGTATGACATGGTGTCGTGGCATGAAAGAGAGCTGCAAAGGGCTAGCTTTTGTTGGTCCTTCACGACTCCCTGGTTGGGGTCCGAGAGATAGTGCAACACAGTGGCTAGAGACGTTATCAGATATGGCTCAGAATCGAAGCCAGTGGCGATCCTGCTGCAACCTTCTTTTACTTTCTACATAAAGAATGGTTCTAACTTTCCTAACTGAAAAAGTCTTCCGGTTGTACATTTCAGTCCGCCTTATCTTTTCATCCCTTCTCTTCCTACTTTCATTATTTTGTGTGGCGCATATGTACCTGGTGCCCTTTTGTACCAATATATATATGTGTTTAAATAAATAAATTTATGCACGAATGATCATTTTTATGACTTGAAATGATCATGTATGATAAATACAATAGAAATCTTTTAAAAAATGCAGCAGATATATAGGCAACATCTAGATATAAACATACAATTCCTAGTCCACTTATTATCATACATTCTTTCAAGCTACTTTTATGTTTGATTTTTCTATCTTCAACACCATAGTCGTTTCTATTTTTTTGCTATCCATCGTGTCAACTTCTCTTTGTACTCATGTGAAAGAAGAATATAGGCAGATGAACATATGTACTAGGTTCTAAGCTTCTTTTATGACCTACAAAACCTAATTGTAGCCAATAAATCGTTTTTAAATATACACCATAAATCATGTTATAACAGGGAATCCTATGAAGGACTTTTAAAAATGTGGTAACTTATGCTTATGATATAATTCTCTGCATAAAGTCTAATAGTAGTTATTTGAATAACACTATCAACCATAAGGTTGCACCTTTTAATGCCACCCCATCTACTCCTGTTTAAGCAAATGGATAGTACAACTATTAAACAGTTTTGAATAAGGCGTGTGGTTAGTAACCGATATAAGCTAACACACCTACCTAAATTTTCATGAAATTTTTTAAAAGTTATCTTCATTTTAGTTCAAAAACACTTTGTTGGATTTAGCTGGTTTGTTGCTGTAACCGGACCATATATTGTTTTTTTTTATCTATTCTTCCTTTTTATTAGCTATTGTATATGATATCACAAAATTTGCGGCGTATCATCCTGGAGGTGTTGATGTACTGTTGGAATATGCTGGAACTGATGCTTCAGAAGCATTTCGAATGGTAGGTCTACTATTTTGTTCGATATTAACATAAATTAGGCAGTCGAGTTAGATTGACAGTACTATAACACCGGAACGTTATGTACTTAGTGACTAAGTTCTATCAACGACCAAGTTATTCATTGGAGTTAGTATTTTATGTAATTTATTATTTTATTTTATTTAAACACATAAATACTGGTACAAGGAAGCACCAGATAAACATGCGCCTCACAAATCTCATTCGATTTGTGTGAGGGCTGTGATACTGGCCAGGTTCCCAAACTGAAGCAGGTGGTTTTCATAGGGGGCCACACCCGGAGCCTTTGACCTAAAGGTCTGATCCACAAGGCAGTGGGGCATCGTAAGGAGATGCAGTCCCATGGTAACTGGTGATCAACAATAGATTCACACGCCATTTGTTCCTTTAGGATACTGGAGCCAGCCCATGTGCACCATTGGTTTGGAATCAGGGTTTTCCAACTCTCCCAGGTGAACTTTCCGTGTCCACTGACCCGGTTAAAGCGCCAGACATTCGTTTTTCGTCCTCTCAATTTCCTAAACAACACCCCTGATGTGAGAAGGCAGTGAGTATTTTTTCTCTGGTAGAGGCTATTTTAGCATACTTCTGATTGTGGTATGAATTACCATTATTCTTTCTTTCTGATAGCTTTCTACATTGCTTCATTCTAGTTACCTGTGAAACTTCAGTCTTTTTATTTAAACTAAATTGAATCTGTTTTAAGCAGTAGTTAGTTAGATACTGAATATGCTACAACCATTTTTGTTGTTGTTTAAGGTCAGATATTTTGTTTAGTACTCTTTTTAGGTTGTGTACAACCATATTTATTATATTGTTAACATTTGTACTACTATTCAATCGTTCCAAAATGTATTTTCCGAAACATCCTTTAAATTTATTTGAAAGGGTTTTTAGATGATTGGTTTAATTTGTAGGTAGTACTTGTGACAGATCAATTTTATATGTGGCATTACTGAAAGCCAAGGACGTATGGGCAGCTATTTCGTCTTAGTATGGGCCAACTAATTAGTGTGTACCCACAACCCAACCAGAGATTGAAATTAGGATCTTCAAGTGTAGCGGCGAGCTCTTGACCATTAGAACCACAGGGTTGTCATCCATCTGTACAGTTCTAACTTAAATCGACCTCCAATGCAGTTTGATATGCTTCAAGTTCTTAAAGTTTTACTGAAAAGTTGTGAATGATGAAGTCCAGGCGTGTCGGAATCGAAAAAGTTTTTACCGATGGTATTAGGCGTTGTCGCGCTACACCGAATTTATAATTGAACGTTGACCTTGTTATCTTAGTATTTAAGATCTTTCCGCCAAACCCGAAGGTCCTGGATTCGATCCCAGGTGGACTCGTTGGTGAGGACTACTTAAGAGTCCCATACTAGGACGAGGCAGATGAATAATGCCCATCCGATCCTTAATGCTGCATCAAATGAGATCAATCTGTGGCAAATACCATCGACAAATTTCTTAGGCTTGTTAATTCTATTAACTGTTAACTGTGAACTTTATAATCGACCCAGTTATCAGCGTAAATTTTTAATTTACCATTGTAAAATGAGCTAATGAAGTGATAATGTAGTAATTGTAGGATTCGGCTTACAATCCTTAGATTTCATGTTCGAACCTCACTGTACTTCAGCTATGAAACATGAAAAAATATATGATATAAAGTGGATTATGTAGAATAAATACTTTGGATTAAACGAACTACACACAGTGAAACGTGGCCATTAAAAGTAGAAGATACTCCTAAGTTTCTAGTATTTGACCACAGATGCCTTAGAAATATTGCTCTCATCTGCTGGGATCACCAGGTAAATAATAGAGAGGTTAGACACAGCGTATTAGGAAATGATGAGGTCATGAATCTTCATCGACTGAGATGGTTGAGCCATGTGTTACGTATGCATGAACACCGATTACCACGACGTGCTATGCTGACTAGTATTGGGGATGGTTGGAAGAGAGTTAGGAGCGGTCAAACGAAAACATGGCATCAGAGCTTGGAGTCACCGACTTCCAGTCTGAGCCATGTTGGCAGATGCAGACTACCTGGTTGGGGTCCGTGTGACTATCGTAACCAGTGGTTGGAGACTCTAGGTGACATGGCTCAGAATCGATCACAATGGCATAGGTGTATACACTCTTTATCTTCCCTTAAACCTTGAGATTAAAATTGCTTCATATCTGTTTTTCTTCCTGTACTATATCCTCATGTACAACCTATCTTTTATATACTGCCACCACTAAATTAACCACTTCTATGAATCCGGTGTTTATCTTGTTGTGCTAATGAAGTATGGCAACTTTGACCGATGTGTATGTGTGCGTAGTCCTACGTTTTAGCTGACTGACTGACTGGCACAGTGATTCTATTCAACAGGAAAGAAAAATTTCATTGATGTAGATAATAAATACTTTAAAAGTTGAGAAGTAGATTTTATTAGAATATTGATGATAACAACTTATTTCCTGAAGTGTACCCCTTTCTTTCCTTTTCAAGGCACATTCATATGTCAGCACAAATATGATATCTAGATTGCAGAAAGGTTATTTAAAACAGAGTGCACCTGGTCGAGGTGGTATGCCTAATCGTAAGTTCTCATCTATCAGTTTGTTAGGATATTCACAAGAATATCCCAAAAATTATCTCGAATGTAAAGTGGTATGTTTTCAGACTCTTCACATAATTCGCATGTTATTTCCTACTGGTCATTAATTACAGTTGTCCTAACTATGACTTTCATGTGTCGTTTCCCTATTGGTCAATTCTGAGTTGTCCTAATTATAACCTTTACGTGTCCTTCCTTTCCATTGGTTACTGTTAATAGTCATCGTAACTGTATAAATATGCCTTGTCTGTAAACTATTTGTGATCTGCTCCTGACCCCATAAACAATTCTCATTTGACGGTTGTGTTCTGATTTATTGGAGTTGGGGAACAGTATTGGGGTCGAACTAGGATATCTGAATTTGGTCAATTGGTAGAATTTCGTGTGGTCCTATCGCGATACGTAATATTTGGGCGAATTTATATTACAGTTAATCGTTGATACCTTTATTTGTATTCTTTATTGGGCTTTATGGTTTACACCACGAACTAACCTCTGTTAATGAATACCAGGAAACACCAAACGGTTGTTTTGTTTTAGTATGGAGCTCCTCTGGGGCACACATCCACAACCACACCAGAACCGAACCCAAGAACCTCAGGTCTTACAACGAGGGCTTAACCTTTACACCACTGAGTTGGTATCCAATAGTCTAAGTATATAAATTAAGTCACTTCTCGATATTATGTAACCATTTTCCAATACCATTGGTGGGTAAGAAACTAATACTCAACATGGTTGGACTCTACAGGTTGTGGCTTTTCACTAGATTTCCAGAAGCTCCCTCTTGAAATGATTGCCTTATGAGCATATGATTATTATTAGCATGGAAGGTTAAGTATTAATTTTGTAATCAATTTAAAAGTAAACTGTTATAAAGCGTTTGGTCGAATAAAATATCCATATGAAGTATGAATTAATATTTTTCATAGTTGAAATCATGAGTCAATTGAAGCTAGACCACCATCGAAAACCTGGAAGCACTGGACAGCCGTCTCGTCCTATTATAGGATTCCTCAGGATCTACCAGTCCCGATCCAGAGCCCTTAACCGATAGACCACTGAGCTGACATCCAACAATGTTAATGTCTAACTCCAACCAATCCACGAAGTTTGAGCAACCGTTCACCAATTGTCTTCAGTGAGTTGTTATCTCACAACAGTACTCGATATGTTTCCAAGTTACCGATTTTATATTACAACTGATAATATTACCCTACTTTGTACTAACTTAAGTAGAAGGTGAAATAGGGGCTCAAAAATGATACCCAATGATTGTGAATCAATTTTTTAAATTACAACATTGTCATTCTTGGTATATTGTTGATTTTATGTGTTACTGTTATAACGATCCGTCTTAAGTTGATACAGTTTTGTGTGGAGTTGCAAATAAGACAAAAAACTTATGATGAGTTTTACTACTAAGCATTATTCAAAACACACAGCCAATAAGTTTTTTCGGTGTTTTCGATGTACATACTAGTTTTGTGCTAACGAGTATTAAAATAACTGTCGACAGTTTATAAATGATTGACCATTAAGTAGTGACCACTAGTCTAAGTGACTTGACATGGGATGCACTATGTTGATATATAAGATGATAAAGATAACTGACAGGAAACCCTGGACCTAAGTTTTGTGCTATTTAGCACTTATCAGCAGGATGTATCTGTAATCTTGAGGTAACTGATGGTTCCCGGAGGATTCGATCCTATGTCACGTTACCATTGAGATATTCGAGACGCGACTAACCTCTTGTAGGACTGAATTGTATTCACAATTGGTCTGTGAGTAAGGGTCAATGTTATGTGTGTCAAGTCCTCAGCCCTGATTGAATTCGATCGATCAAAGAAGGAGGATAAGACTAAAGGCATACCTTACCAACCAATGTCAAGTAGCACGAAACCTAGGTCCATAGTTTCTTTCTGACTACATCATCATTTTACCAATAGGTTGTTATGTAAACGATTTACAGTGGTTCAAAGCATCAGTTTCAGACAATTTAAATAAGATGATCTAATTTAAGGTGGTATTACCTACAATTACTTCTTACTTTATTTTTCTTACGTTTCATGCCTATTTAGAATTATCTCCATTCTTTATTCCATCGAAGCTTCGTTTAAGCAGTACAAAAAAACCTATGTGAGTAAACAACTTTCTAGTATTTTTTTGGTAGAGATCTATGTATATGTTCTAAAGTTTAAGTTGACAAGTCAACTGGGTTTTAGATTTTTATATTTCCAATTTCCCAGGAACACCTTCCAGTGTGAGTGAGCGGCGCCCAAATGCCCTGGTACGGCCGAATGTAGGGAGAGTCCGCTCTCCCTCTCCGAATGCTTCCACATGGCCACGCGTATATAGACTCTACCAGGGAAGTCCTACTCACTGCCTTCTCACTCCAGGGGTGTTGTTTACGAAATTGAGAGGACGAAAAGCGAATGCCCGGTGCTTTAGTCGGTTTGGTGGACACGGAGAGTCCACCTAGGGTAGTTGGAAAACCCTGATTCCAAACCAATGGTGCACATAGGCTGGCTCCAGTATCCTGAAGGAACAAATGGTGTATGAATCAATCGCTGGTGACGGGCTACCATGGGACTGCATCTCCTCACGATGCTCCACTGACTTTGCGTTATACTTTTAGGTCAAAGGCTCCGGTTGTGGCCCCCTAAGGAAACCACTTATTTCGGTTTGGGCACCCGGGAAGTATCACAGCGCTTACACAAATTGAATGAAGTTTGTGTGGCGCATATGTATTCGGTGCTTCCTTGTACCAATATTTATGTGTTTAAATAAATGTATGCCAGACACTGTATTCTATAGCTTTTGTACTTTTGCTGACATGAATGGATTCTAATATATCTGCATCTTGTTCTATCGGGAAATATACAAGGAAGAAGATGTGAATTGAGTTGATAGTTACGGTCTGATTAAATAATAATTTCTATTAGTTTGTACGATTTTAAATTTCTATCCATAAGCACGTTAGTAATGACGTTATAAGTTTCACAATATACCTTACTACCCAGGACAGTGTTGGATAAAGAATACTGGTGGGCGACCTATTCTCCCCCACGAGGTTCAACAAACGTAAGTAAGTAATTAAGTAATGTACCTTACTAAGTGTCTTCAGCACTCTCCGCAAGACAGCAAAAGCCCAGGTAAGAATAATGGGGAACAATAAATTCTAATAAGTAATATACAAGAATTTATAAATCGCAATAGTGAATATCGATCAATTTCAAAAGCATATAACTTCTGTATATAATAAGTCAAACGGTAAACTCTCTTCGATATCAGTAAAACAAAATAAGACCACAAGAGATAAGAGAAAAAAACTTGCACTATAATAAGAGACTTTGGCGAGACTATAACTTATGGACGAGCCAATCAGAAGCGTTTGGGGGGTTTCAAGGTCACGGCACCGATTTCAGTACCTGGTGCTCATGTACGATGGATTCACAGAGAATTATAGTAAATACTTGACAAATAAGACTACTAAGAAGTTCCTGTATTTGTAATTGCAGGTATTAAATGACTTATAGACCTTGTGCAGACTACCGTGATGTTGTCCTTCGATGTAATATATGTTGAAGGAAGACGTTTGCTAGAATAGAAACCTTTATCGCTCGATCCAGATTGAGACTAAGGCGTATTATAATAATTGCCGCAAACTGTACAATAAAAGCACCAGTAACATTGGCTGCAATAATCGCAGATGTTACTGAAGCTTCGGTTGTTCATTGGTATGAGTATTGTAGGAACATATCCATAATAAAAATGATAAACTTACACAACTGGAGTACACATAAACAATATTGAAGCTATGTGGTCGAGACTGAGAGGGTTTTTGTGACCTTATCATGGTTCCAGAGACCAACTATTATGGAGCCATATAGATAAGTTCCTTTGAACCTTTTTCTAACATTGACAAGTTTTTGGAGCATATAAAAGAAGTGTATCCACTTTAACTCTTTGGTTTTGTATAATATATTTTTACCCTATGCTGACTGTTTACTGATTCGCTGACATTTCTCAGGGTCACTTGATATTCGTTCAAAGGTCGTCCATTAATTATAGTCTCGCTGAGACTTTTGATGCCGTTCTTATTACAGAATCTGTTCTTCTCATTTCTTCCTCTCTTCTGTCTGTTTATTATTTCAGTTGGGATTGGAAAGAATATGATAGTTATATTGAACTAACTATTAATTATGGGAATTATAAAGTCTTTGATAAATTTTGCAATGAACTAGATGGATTACGAATACTTTGTACATGGACTAAATGTGAACAAGATGAGAAACAAATGAATTCCAGTGGTGTACTTATGTTACGTACAGTTTTAGATCATGAATATCATTGTTTGAAATTAAGTAAGTTATGCTTGTTTTGTTTTCGTTTTGATGTATTACAGCGTTTATTCCCATTGTGGCTTTGACTGAAGATTGTTTGGGTATATTGCATGCACTATGATTTGTGTTCAACTAGAGTCCTAGGAAACACTTAAAGATTATTTCGTTCTGACATTAGATTTCTCTTTAGTAACAGTATCCACAATCCTGACAGAAATCAAGCACGCGACTTTCAGGCGAGTTTAGTATTCAGCAATCTGCTCTTATGATTGTAAAACATGAACTGTAAAAGTAGAAAAGATAGGTAAACTGTAAGTTCTTGGTCGTAGGTTTCTTCGAAACATCTCTCACGCATCATGATGCAATCAAATTAACGGTTCTGAGATAAGTATGTCAAGTTGATTGATGTAGTGAATCTTTTTGTTAACTAAGGTGGTTGAATAATGTGTTACGTATGTCCAAGCACTTCCGACCTCAACGCACATTGTTTACTGAAATAAGAATAGGTTTGAAGAAAGCTAAGTGCGGTCAAGTCAAAACATTTGATTTGTGCATTAATTTATCTACTGTTGGTCTGAACCAAGTTAATAAATACAGACTTCCTGGTTAGAATATACACGTTAACCCCAATCAGTTCTTGGAGACATGCTCTTACCATACCCCTATATGTTCTCAACTTTTCTGCATTCGGCATACAATTAACAGTCTATACTTACTTTTGTATTCCCAAATCTTTAATCAGCGAACCACAAAATGAAAATTTTATGATTTTCAATTTTGAAGTGGATATTGTTTATTTATTTATTTAAACGCATAAATATACTACCACCACTAAATTAATTACTCCTATGAATCCGCTGTTCATCTTGTTGTGCTAACGAGGTATGGCAACTTGGACCGATGCATAAATGTGCGTGGTCCTACGTTGTCGCTGACTGACTGACTGATAAATATTGGTATAAGGAAGCACCAGATACATATGCGCCTCACAAATCTCAATCGATTTGTGTGAGGGCTGTGATACTGCCCAGGTGCCTAAACTGAAGCAGGTGGTTTACTTAGGGAGCCACACCCGGAGCCTTCGACCTATAGGTCTGATCCACAAGGCAGTGGAGCATGGTAAGGAGATGCAGTCCCATGGTAGCCGGTGACCAACAATTGGTTCATACGCCATTTTTTCCTTCAGGATACTGGAGCCAGCCTATGTGCACCATTGGTTTGGAATCAGGGTTTTCCAACTCCCCTAGGTGGGCTTTCCGTGTCCACCAACCCAATTAAAGCTCCGGACATTCGCTTTACGTCCTCTCAATATCGTAAACAATATCCGTAGTATGAGAAAGCAGTAAGTAAGACTTCCCTGACAGAGGTTATATACGCGTGGCCATGTGAGAGCATTTGGAGAGGGAGAGCGGAATCTCTCCACTCTCGGCCTTACCAGCGCATTTGGGGGCTATCATTCGGTTTTTATTTGGCTATCATTTAATCTGATTGTTCACACAAAACAAAAATTCTCGCTCTTTTTGTAAATAAATTAAGTCGAAATTCAATTTTTGTTTATTTGCTTTCAAATTACAGACTTTATGATTTGTTTTCTTTTCTAATTATTATTATTATTTTATTGAATATACATCTAGGACTATGTCCACAACTTCGTCCAGATTTGTCTACACTTTGTTTGAATCACTCAGGAATTAGTAATTCGAAGTCAATGTCTTCGCTCTCACCATCACCATCATCATTATCACTGTTAAGACGAGTAAGAGGAGAGGGAGGTGGCAGAGAAGGAACAACCCAATTGAGCATCAATTTAATTAAACTTTTATCTGTAACACCATCAACATTATCTTCAACATCTTCCTTTCCATCATTGTCAGTGCAACCAAATATTAGTAATTTAGAATTAGTTGAAAAATCGACAAATATTTCATTTAGTACAATTGGTGTTGTACTTCGTGATGTTTGTATTGGATTAGATGTTGAAAATAGTTCTATTTCTGGTAAGTAAACAAGAGGTTTTATTAGATTTTAACTTATTACAACCATATTTATTATTATCAGCAAAGGTAGATAGTGACTAGCAGTGGAATCCAGGATGCACGTTTCGTCCTATTTGAGACTCGTCACCCCACTGCACAAGCAATTGGCTATCAGGGCTCAGTGGCTGTGTGTTCGAGTCCCATAGTGAACATCAACTCCGAGATGCAGGTACATCCAGCTGACGAGTCCCGAACTGGACGAAACGCGCGTCAAACTGGATTCCACTGCTAGCCACTATCCATCTTTGCTTACCATACTTGTGAATTAAGGCTATATCGAGGCAATACGCACAGTATGCACATATGCCTATAAGAGACTGACCAGTTGCAGTCCTAAACATCAATGGAAAGATTTAAACAAACAATACTAAGCTCATATTTATTATTATTAGTGGTGTTGTGAACGAGCACTCAAGTAGGGACAGTCATGCATGAAATGCTTCATGTACAAATCTTCCATCAATTGTCATTTACATTATATGTGATTCTTCCAATTTACGATTCCTTTCTATTTCCCTTTTTTGTTTTCTTCAACTCAATCTTATTAGCCTTCTACTACTACTATGCATTACACTTTTGATTGGTGTTACATACTACTTATTCCGACAAAAATAAAGTAGCATAAACCACAGTAGTAGTAGTAGTAGTAGTAGTAGTAGTAGTAGTAGTAGTAGTAGTAGTAGTAGTAGTAGTAGTATGTGTTTCCAACTTTTCACTGTTATAATATTTAAAACTGCAAATATTGATCAATCTTTGTTAAAAGTTAAGTGGATCGCTTCGGCAGAATACTTTGTCATAAGATAGATGAATTATGACATATTGTAATAGAGAGAGAGAGGGCAGCGAGAGAAGGGGTAATGTTGAACATAAACAAGCTAAATGCAACATTATAATATTCAAATGAGTACTTGATATTCAATAAAGAATTTAATGCTTTCAAAGTAAAATGATTGTCTCTTGCTGAAATTTTATTCGGTATTCATACGTATAAAGATTACACTTTTCACATGTATTAACACCTACACATCCCAGGACAGAGTGGGTTGGAGAATGCTGGTCGGCGGCCTATCCTCCATTGGGAGTAACAGGCGTAAGTAAGTAAAGTAAGTCAACACCTACACATACATACAGATACATAAACATATCTCACCCAAATCGTTTTGATTAGAGTAACATGACATCAGTCAATTCAGATCCGTTCTGTGATTGATTGTATTAAATATTTTGTCTTCGTTATTTTATTCGGTATGAAATTAGGTTGATTTGCTTATTTAATTATCATCTGAAGAAGTAGCTTGTACTAAGCACACCACTTTCCCCCGAATTCCCTGGTACGGCCGTGAGTGATGAGGGCCCGCCCTCTCTCTCGAAATGCTCTCGCATATCATATCAGGATCTTTTTTTTCTAACAAACCTAAAAGCAAGATTATTCTTTTCAATGGTAGTGTGGTGTATGCTACTTATGTCTGTCGACATAAGTAGTATGTAATACCAATCAGAGGTGAAATACCCGGCAGAAGATTGAATTGAAGAGACCAGGAATGTAAACAGAGAGTAATTGTAATAACAGCGGGAATAAAGGAACGATGAACTTTGTAAGAGACAGTTAATGGTAGATGTGCGAATGAAGTATTTAACGTATGGTTTTCGTATTTTGTGAACACATTTTGTAATTTCGTATTCACTAATAAATAAAGTGATTATCCGCACCTACGTTTTCATTTACTACAGTAGTAGTGTGGTGTACGCTATTTATGCGGATAGATCTAAGTAATATATTAGGAATTGGAAGTGGAGCGCTTACCAGCAAAAGATTAAAATAAAGAGAAGAGGATTTAAAAACAGAGAAATTGGAAGAACAACAAGACTGGAAGAATGATGGAGTATGTAAAGAACAACTCAAGGAAGACGTACAAATGATATATTTGATATTTTAAAAAGGAATTTTTATTTTGCATAAGTAAACTCGTTGCCCTTACCTGAGCCTTTGTTCAGTACAGTAGTATTAGTAGTAGTTGTTGTAGTCTTATAAACTAATATTGCTGTTCGTCTAAGAGAAACATCCTATCATCATCATAGTTCAGTAGAATGAATGAGCAGTATAGAATTACCCTTAGACTAGAATTGTTTATTTTAGTCATTATCCTTTTGATTGGCTCAAGATGTTAAAATCTCAAAAATCAAGTGTTCCAATCAATTCAATTCGATTGAGTCATCAAAGTGTGTTACATCTATATAGTGAGTTAATTGGCATATGTAAATACTGTGCGTATTGTCTTGATATTTTCTTAATTCACAAGTATTCTAAACAAAGATGGATTGTGGCTAACAGTGGAATCCAGCACGCGCCTTGCTTCGTCTTATTTGGGATTTGTCAACTGAATGTACCTAAATCTCAGAGTTGATGTTAACTTAGGGACTCAAACCCAGTTTCGTTCGCTTCAAACGCCATCACGTTATCCACCTTGCTATTGAGTCTTGATAGCCACTTGCTTGTGCAGTGAGGTTAGGTTTAAATTCACTAGATATTGTTTACTTGAATCTTCGCATTGCACAGGAGAGTGGCTATCAAGACTCAGTATCTAAGTGGATAACGTGATGGCGTTTGAAGCGAACGGTACTGGGTTCGAGTCCCAAATAGAACGAAGCGAGGCGCGTCCTGCATTCCACTGCCCATATATCATAAGTAAGTATTTCTCTAATATTTAAAATCTAGTTAGTAGTTAGTGGCAGACAGGAGATTATTCGAACATTTTTCATACCAAACCATTTTTTCATCAAATCTGCTTCCTTCCTTCCCCCCCTTATGAGAAATATATAAAATAATCGTTTTGTTCCATTTTTAACCCATTAATGATAATATCTTGTATATTTAGTGAAGCTTTGTTCGTTTACACCCTATAGACAGTGTATATATTTGCTTTCTTTTTAAAAAAATGATATAATCAATCTTGTTTTCGCCATGGGGATTATCATTATGTCATGTCCTAATTTATCTATTCATTCATTCATTTTTTCGCGAACATTTGAAAATTCACTTGAAACTACCATTTTTGATGGGGGGGGGTTGTACAGTTTATTTTAAGTTTATATATATATATATATATATATATATATATATATATATATATAATTTCACCTTCAGCTGGAAGCTGGTTTGTCCTCTGACACAGGAAGCTGTTGCTGATAGTATTTGGCCAACAGACATTGAGTATCTTGTGTAGATAATTGGTTACAACTAATTGTGCATATTGATGTTGGTTGTAGTAGTTCTTGAAGTTTCAGCTTTGTACAGTAGGACTGTCTTGACGTTCGTATTGAAAATTGTGACTTTGATATTGGTTGACAGTTGTTTTGAGTTCCATATTTACTTCAATTGTAGGAATGCGTCGTTTGCTTTGCCAATTTTCTATGATAAATTAACCCAGGTACGTGAAAGTTTCCACCTCTTCCAGAATTTCTCCATCATGTGTAACTGGGTTGGTGTTCGTGTTGTATTTGAGGATCTTGCTTTTTTTGTGTGCATGTTGAGGCCTACTTATGCAAAGGTTTCTGTTACACTGGTTGTCTTGTCACTGCATTTGTTCGTGTGCATGGGATAGAAGGGTCATGTTATCTACGAGGCCCAAATCATCTTGTTGCATTCGAGCTGTCCATTGTACTCCGTGCTTCATCTTTCTTCCGGTTCAGCAACACTCTGCTAAAAAATCCCTGATACAGATATTAGTGTGATGCCTCTGTAGTCCTCACCATTTCTGAGATCTCTTTTCTTTAGTATCTTGATGAGGTATCTTTCTTTCCAGTCTATCGGTACTTGTTCTTCCCTCCCAAGTCTTTCTGAATAGAAGATGGAGAATCTTTGCAGTTGCTTATATGTTTGACTTCAGTGCTTTAGCTGATATGTTATCAGATCCTGGATTTGGTTATAACTAGAAAAGATTTAAAGAGTTTACATGAGTTTAAAGAATTTAATGAGTTGAAGTTACAATTGAAAGAAATAAAAATAATTTTAAATTGAATAAAATATTATTTTCAATAGTTGAATTCATGAGTCAATCTAAGCTCTAAAAGCACTGAAGGTCGTTTCATCCTAATGAATTCAACCATTAAATTTACTACAATCTCCATTCCGAAAATAACATTTAACTAAACAAAGTTTGCTTAACAAAATACAAACAATAGAAAATAATTTGACACGATTTTAATTGAAATTATGATAGTCACAAATGAATCCCTATCTCCTCCTATACTTACATACGCCTGTTATCTCCATTAGAACATAGGCCACCGACCAGCATTCTCCAACCCACTATGTCCTGGGCTTTTCTTTCTAGTTCTATCCTATTGTTGTTCATTCTTCCCGTATCTTTCTCTATTTCTCTATGTAATGTGTTCTTTGGTCTTTTTCTTCTTTTTTGTCATTCAGTTCTTCATGTGAGGGCTTGCCTTGTGACTCAGTTAAGTGATATCCTCAATGTATGTCCTACCCACTTCTAGCACTTCTTCTTGATTTTTCCCTCCACTGAAAATCTCCTTCTATACATCTCACTTTAATTTGAGTTTTTTTTATATTTACAAACGACTTCTTCAACATAAAGTAAGGAAGTTTTTGTTTTTGGATGTTAATAATTTTGAAAGATTAACACACGTCGATATGATACTCGCTGTTAATTAAATGCCGTACTTTTTTTTTAGAGTTACGCCACTTTTTAGTCTTGATTGTTTTGGATACATTTTCAGTAATATGAACATATATCCTTTTCTCTATTCCATCAATGTTTGTACTTTGACACATGTAAACTATTGAATATAGTTGGAGATACTTAGAAAAAAACGACTAGTCGATTTTATTCTTTTGTTTTACAGATCAGTTCATTTTTCATAAGATGTTGTATTAGATCTGCCACTGAATAATTAATCTTCATTGTAGCTTATATTCTGTGGTTCATTCATCCAGTAATTTTGTAGTATATGCTACTGATGTCGACAGATATAAGTAGTACATATCATTAGTGGAAAGTGAAATGTCTGGCGGCAGAATTTTAAGAAGATCAAAGAAAATATAACGAGGACAGAGAGTAATTGGTGTGAAAACGAAGGAACAATGAAGTATAAGATAATTGGCTGAGATTTTGCAAATAAAGTACTTATTGTTTGGCTCTTAGATTGTGATAAGAGGTTCTATAATTTGTATATTTGTATAATTTGTTTATTTAGTTGTGCCAACTGATGTTCTCATTTGCTACACCTTCATTCTCTTTGAAGTAAAAGTGTAAGAAATAGGCTTACTTTTGAACTATTTCATGGATTTTAATATAACCAGAATAAACATAGATGTGGAATAATATGATATTTCATAGATAACGAGTTCGTTTGTTCCAGCATACTTGTTGATGAATTGTTATGAGTGTATACATTTTCATATGAACATTTTTTTAATAAATGCATATTCTACTATGGTGTATGCTACTCATGTCTGTCGACATAAGTAGTGTGTTGCACCAATCGGAAGTTGAAAACCTGGCAGCAGAAGGTCATGACGGTCGACTTGAAGAAAGCAGAAAGGGAAATAGAAAAGAATCGTGACTTGGAAGAACCATACAAAATGTGAAAAACATATGATGTATTTAATACATGGTTTTCATATTTTATGAATATATTCTCTAATTTTGTATTGAAATACAATTGGTCGCCCCCAATTATGTTTTCGTTCATTAAACTGATACTATTCAAAACGAAGAAGTATTGAATTACTGTTTTATTCTAGTCTTGAAATTCTTAGCAGTATACATGCCCACAACTCGTCCATAGGATTGAATTAATCATTAAGAGTTGAATTCAGATTAGAATTTGGGAGGGCAAAAAGAGCTTTCTTCCAACCTACTCCTACACCATGAAACATTGCACGTCGGGGCAGTCGGTGGTTGGGCATACGTAATACTTGTCCCAGCCATCTCAACTGATGAAGTTTAACTACTTCATCAATCGATTTGTCATCTTTGCCTAGTACCCGTTTCCTAACGACTGCATTACTTACTCGTATTACTTACCCGTATTTCCCTAAACAAATTTTTTATTTCAAATTATTAAATCCTCCTTGAAAAAAATATCGTTACATGTAAATAAACGAAATCTGACTTAAATTCTTTTTTGTTGTTGTTTACTTGAATCTTCCCATTGTTGTTTACGACTGCAATTGATCAGTCTCTTATTGACATATGTGTATACTGGGCGTATTGTCTCGATATTATATTAATACACAATCATTCTAAACAAAGTTGGGCAGTAACTAGTAGTGGAGTCCAGTACGCGCATTTTGTCCTAAATACCAAAAACAAGTAAATTTAAAACTTCATTCCATTGTACAAGCATGTAGTTATCAGGACCCAGTATCTAAGTGGATAACGTGATGGCATTTAAAGCGAACAGTACTAGATTCAAGTCCTCAAGTAAACATCAACTGTGATATGCAAGTACATTTAGTTAACAAGTCTCAAGTCGGATAAAGCGAGGAACATCTTAGATTCCATTATTATCCACCTATTCATCTTTTTGAAATTTTAACTCAAATGATTTATTGAATAATATCTAATCATTATGATCTAATTTCTTTCTATCCTTTCTATTTCCATCATTCTATTGTTATCTTTCTATTCTTTATTTATTCTCTATTCATAGATGAAGTATTTTACCTTTGTCATATCATTGAATCTTATTGGTTACATAATAGTTGCTATCGATTATTATGTATAAATTGGCCAGTAACAGAAGTAAATATTAATATACCAATTGGATATCATGTTAATGTCCGTTTAAAAGATTCTGAAAGTAAGAGTTATTCAATGATTATTTCCATTAATTAATTGTAATTAAAGAATAGAATCAATAATGAGTATAGGCTTAAATGAAATCGATATCTAACTATACTGTTTAGTTTATATTAGAGATGAAAATAAGGTATTAAAATTGAACCAATCAGATTTGAGTAAATTATTTTTGAGTTTTTCCGCGAAATTCAAAGATGGATATATATATACTGACTGATAGAATGTAATAAATGTAAATGAATCAATAGTAATTATCATTGATTGGTTGCTAAGTAGTTACCAATGTCATGTTTTTTAAGTTCTTCTTAGTGCAGATAGAATTCTGTGAATCAAGTTGCGAGTGGATACTAGTCTGAGTAACTAGACATGGATGTACACTATGTTGAAATGTAAGGTGATAGTTACAGATAGTCAATAAGAAACTCTGAACCTAAGTTTCGTGCGATTCGGCACTCGTCAGTTATATGTATCTGTAATCTTTGAGATAACTAGTGCTCCCTGAAGGATTCGATGCCGTGTCACCAAGCTTCACAATCAGAGATATTACCACTGAAATATCCAAACTGTGATTGACCTCATGTAAGACTTAAATGTATTTACAAATGGTTACTGGGTAGTAACAGTGTAGGGTATCATAATTTACTTCACTATAATGAGACAATAAATCAACTAGATATTAAACAAAAAAGTTAAAGTGTTAGTAGTATCACTTGTGGCTGGTGTACTAAACACAGAAATAAATGAAACGTGTTAAGCCTGAAATTCAATAAAAGATTTAAAATGATATGGATCTGCAATTCTTTTAAGCTTACACTCAACTTTGGAAACTCGATTAAGAATTCCCTACATTCCAATGTTAGTTTAATTGACAGTAGATATTTTTATGAACTGACGTCATTGTTTAATATGACTCCCAGGGCGGAGTTTGAATAATTTTTTCTGGTTAGCGTTTTTTTTAGCTAGTTAGTTTTCTACTGGATGGGGTGGATAACCCCATGCTCAACCCTTATCCGGGTTCGGGACTGGCATTAGCCCACGGACCGGTTACAGGCAGAGTTTTCACACATATTACTTCAACTAAAGTGATAAATATTTTATTGTGATTGAATGAGATATAATTCTATAATAATCGATCAAGTGCTCTGGCGCGAGACTGTTAGGTCCTGGGCTCGAATCTTGCTAGGCAAGGTCGTGGATGCGTACTGTTGAGGAGTCTCACAATAGGACGAAACGACCATCTAGTGCTTCCAGGTTTTCCTTGGTAGTCTAGATAGATCTAAGATTCTTTTAATCGCTTACATTCAACTCTGGAAACTCAATTGAGAATTCTGTACATTCCAATGTTAGTTTAATTCACAGTAGATGTTTTTACGGACTGATATTGTTGTTAAATATGACTACCGTCTTGGAAAATCTACATGTTCTCTCTGTTTTACCTTTTTTTCATTGTTTATTCATTTCATATTGTTTGTATTTGTCAACCCCCCCCCATTCAGGTAATTATGTAATCAGACCTTATACACCAGTATGTAATGATTTGACATTCACATCAATTATCAATAATGATTGTCAACAAGAAAAAAATGTAAATCAATTCTGTTTGTTAATTAAAATTTATCCAAATGGTGAATTTTCTAAACTTGTGAATAATCTATCTGCAAGTAAGTTATTCCTTGTTCTTTTTCATATTGTCTCAGTTAGTCAGTCACCTAGCTACAACGTAGAACCAGGCATATATATATGCATCGGTCCAAATTGCCATATTATCTATATATAGAATATCTTGGGGTTAAATATAATTGACTGATATCTCAATAACATACTGGCCATCATAACAAGTTATGATTATGTTTCCCTCATTGTGATATATACTACTTATGTCGATATATATATAAGTAGTTGTTATAACGTGTGAGTGCGTGCGTGCCCTGTTTGATATATGAACGTGCTGATTCCCGCCAATGAGAGAAGAGCGAATTATCGATCGGAGCAATGATACATAAAAGCCGTACGAGCAGTCTTGAGTAATTATTAGTATTGCTTTCTACCTAGCCCAGTCAGTTAAGTCCAGAACACCAATAACAGTCTCTGCAATATGAATCATTATTCTCAATAATACTGGCTTTATATACTAATCAAACAGACCACATTGTACCATAAAATAGAAAATAGCATTTGTACAAGATTTAGCCAATTGTGGCAGTGAATAGGGGGAACCGTAATTAATAGACTAGAGATAACTCAAGAATGGTAAATCGTACATTAATAGTCCAAGGGTCAAAATAAAGCTTATAATAAGAGGAATACGAATATGAATAGTTTAGTTACTTAGCAATTATACAACAGGAAATATACATATCATGTTGGTCCATAAATAGTCCTCAGAGTTACCATTCATAATTCTCCACAGGTTATAACAAAGACAAAGAATGAATTCATTTACTCTATTGTGATTAATTCTAAATCTAACCTTTCACACATATTCTGCAGCCATTTGAAAGACTCTCCCACGAGCATTCCAGGTACCTAGATAAGTTGTTGCTCTGGTTGTCAGAAGAAGCATTGGCCTCGTGGCTTCCAAAGGTACTCGTCTTTCACCATGAGGCGTCATAACTCTTATAAAGGAAGATATTCTGACTCCCAGGTAAAAGTTTAAATGGTTTGAATATTTGTTGCTGGTCAGCGTTTTTTTAGCGAGTTAGTTTTCTACAGGATGAGGTTTCTAACCCCTATGCCTAACCCTCCTCCTTTATCCGGGTTTCGGACCAACAGTAGCTCCCAGAGCGGCTACAGACAGAGTTTTCACACATATTACTTCAACTAAAGTGATAAACATTTTATTATGATTGAATTCGATATAATTCTATAATAATCGGTTAAGTGCTCTGGAGCGAGACTGTTAGATCCCGGGTTTGAATCTCGCAAGACAAGGTCGTGGATGCGTACTGTTGAGGAGTCTCACAATAGGAGGAAACGGCCGTCCAGTGTTTCCAGGTTTTCCTCGATGGTCTAGCTTTAATTGACTCATGATCTTACCTATATAATATTCATCTATTTTCCTTGTTTAATTATATCTTTTTCATATTTTTTTAAACTTTCAATAGATGACACCATTGAAGTAAGCTTACCAATAGGTAATTTCAATAGTAATCTAATCAAACCAATCATTCATCATAATAATAATGAATCAAAACTATCCTATGTTATCATGTTAGCCGGAGGTAGTGGTATAACACCTATGCTACGTATAATTCACTATTTATTTACTGGGAATCGTCCAAATTTACAAACGTTTAAATTACATCTAATTCATTTTATTCGTAGTCAAATTGATCAAATATTAGTTTCTTATTTTGCATCATTACATAATCATTTCCCAAATAAGTAAGTTTAATGAATATTCCTCTTTTTTTCAAGACTAAGATTTATACAATCAGTTGGATACAAACTAATCTCAATTATCAGTTAATGCCATACTTATTGTTGGACTTGGGTCACAGCAGTAATGCGCTCTCAAATGTCCTGGTATGGCCGAGAATGGAGAGAGTCCGCTCTCCCTCTCAAAATGCTCTCACATGACCTGGAAGCACTGGACGGCCGTTTCGTCCAATTATAGGACTCCTCAGCAGTGCGCACCCACGATCCCGCCTCGCGAGATTCGAACCCAGGACCTACCAGTTTCGCGCCAGAGCACTTAACCGATAGACCACTGAGACTGTTAGGTCCTGGGTTCGAATCTCACGAGTCCCATAATAGGACGAAACGGCCATCCAGTGCTTCCAGGTTTTCCATGGTGGTCGATCTTCAATTGACTCATGATTTCAACTATGAAAATGCTGAAATCTCCACAAAACCCCCTTCTGATCTAAAATCGTTCTTCTTCAGCAGATGATTTATTTTATCATATTTCCGTTTCTTCTTAGACATTATTACAACAGTTTGAAAAAGTGAATCATTTTGTTTTCCTATAGATTTTCAATTACTCACGTTCTATCTGAACCACCATGCATATCTGACGATAATGATGATAATAATAATCATTGGTTGTATGGACATATAACTGATGAATTATGTCGTCAATGTTTTGATAAAGAAATAATTGACAACTTTGAATCACAAACAATTTGTTTAATATGCGGTCCATCTGGTTTTAATGATACAGCTTTCAAGTGAGTACATTACATAGTATTGCTTTCAATCAATTCTTGAGGACTATTCAATGATAACGTTGTTTGTTTTTTCTTTCTGTGGAAGTGTTTACAAAGTTTCAAATATTGGTTTACACAATTTAAGAGGAAACACATTGTTATGAACTATGTTATTACGAATCAGCAACTCTTATTGTTTAGTATTCTTCAGACACCTAAATTCACTCGACAAGTCCCCAAATCAGAACACAATTGTACGGGAACGTAATTAAATTTCGAGTAAACAAGATTGAATGTTAGTTAAAATCGCAATAAGAGTCTTTTCCAAGCACCCGCTAGTGTTACTTGGTCAGTCAATAGCCGACCAGCGTTCTTCAACACAATCCTACACGAAACAGGTTTTAATACAATCTATATCCCGCTGACATACATGCAGTTGATGAATCTCATGCAAAACGGAAAAATGCGTTCTGAATCCCACTGTCAGGCACAACCCATTTACTTTAAATATCGAAGCGATCTACAGTTTACATATATATCAACAAAGCCTTAAAAAAATTTGGTCTTGTATGTCAGCAACAAGAAAATTCATATCCCTACTGATAACGTTGATGATTTTGTTCATAAGTAAATCAATCCATCCAGAAAATACATATCAACGAAAACCAGGATCTAAGCTAGTGAATGCATTTGTGCCATTCGGAACCATTTTGGAAGTGTATCACTCAATCTGTAACGGTTAGTTATGATGATCACATGGACTCCAACCAGATAGTCTAGACTTGTTATTATGACTCAGTTAAATTTTCAGTCAGCTGATGGGCCTGTACCGTGTTTTTTTTTGGTTGCTCCTTTCTTTCTTCCACTTTACTCTTATGCATGATGACGTTCGTCGAGGTAGGCTGTGGTTGAACTTATATAATACATGTCCCAGCCACTTCAGGTTGTAAAGATCCACTATCTCATCAACTAGTTCCTCAGTTATACTTTGCACTCTGTCCCTAACCTCAACATTGCTCACTTGGTGATCCCAAAAGTGCGGGCGATGCTTAGGAGGTAGGTACTCACGAATGGATATACTAGTAACCTACATATATCCGCTATTCCTAATGGTCATACTTCACATCCATAAAATAGAACAGAACTTATGCACATTAAATCCATCGTTTGATCGATGGATGGTTATCTCATTTACTTCATTATACATGTATACTTGAGTAGGAAAATTGCATATCACTATGGAATTCGGACACCACCGCATAACAACATATTCATAGAATATATATTATATAATGGTCAAATTTTACTTTCTTATTCCTCTTTGTTTAAATTGATTTTAGACTAACAAATCAATGGTCTATTCCTAAAGAACGTGTACATATCTTCAAAGGATGAAAACAAGATGCTGTATTCTGTCATAGTAATAGTTCACGTACATTTTATGGCATATTCCTACTTCGTTTACTTCCATGACGATACATGTATATATCATGAATCTCGAAGCTGTATTTCCCATAGCAACTAATTTATGTCACTATGATGAAATCATACTTTGTGCTAATGTGTACATATATACATAAAAATAGATATACAAACACACACCTAGTAAAGTGATCTCCATTTGTTGTATAATGAACGAGAACACACCTAAATATATTTCAATACAAAATTATAGAATCTCTAAGTGAAATCTGAGAACTATAAAGTAAATACTTCATTTACAAAATATCCATCAATTGTCTCATACTTCATTGTTCCTTCATTATCAAATCACTCTCTGTTCTTGTTCTCTTCTATTCGATCTTCTCGACTTTCTGCTGCCAAGCATTCCATCACTTTCGATTAGTGATATATACTACTTAAATCTGTCGATATCAGTAGTACATACTAAAGTTGTAGCTATTATTATTATTATTGTGGATTTGAATGATTATTTTTGTTTTAACTCAGTTATTTAGATCAAATATTTCTATACGTTAGAAACAATTTCAGTAGTTTGTTACTATTTAAAAAAATTCTTTTGCATTTCCATTCCTTAGTGCTTTTGTTTCGTTTGTATTATATTCATATAAGATAAATTGTATTACTTGTTAAATTGGATACAAAATAAAAGTATCCCCCCGACAAGGGGTATTAATTTTTGTTTATTGAAGCTTTTGATGATCAAGAGCGCAAAACTATCTGTAAACAAAATCAGAAGGGGGTGATCTAGCTTCAATTGACTCATGATCTCAACTATATAAAAATAATTGCTCAAATCTCCACAAAACCCCCCTTCCGATTATGATCATATGCTCACTACTGACTGGCTCTTTGAGGTAATTCCTGGAGTTGTAATGAGAATTCGTGACCAGTGGAGCTAATCCATGTCAGGTAGAGACAGATATCTACCTCAGTACAATGTAAGTTGGTCGCGCAATTTCGTGGATTGGTTGAGTTTAGACATTAACACCGTTGGATGTCGGCTCAGTGGTCTATTGATCAAGTGCTCTGGTGCGAGACTGGTAGGTCCTGGGTTCGAATCTCGCGAGGCTGGATCGTGGATGCGCACTGCTGAGAAGTCCCACAACAGGACGAAACGGCCGTCCAGTGCTTTCAGGTTTTTCATGATGGTCTAGCTTCAATTGACTGATCTCAACTATATAAACAAATGCAAACAGAATGTTGTTATATTACTAAAATATATGAAATGCATTACAAACATCAGTTCGTAAGGTGTCCATAGTGTCTATTGTGTTCGCACAATTAAGGATATTTAAAATTATTTACAACGACATATAATAAGCAATCGACAGTACATAACCGTGTCAAGACTACAGCTATTATAATTTCTCCAGCTATTCCTACTACTTAGTATTATTGGGCACCAATTCACTCAATATGTCCCCAAATCAAAACACGGTTGAACAGGAACGAAATTATATTCCAAATAACAAGGGTAGATGGAAGTAAGGAAGCATAATGAGAAAAACGTTAGTATATTTATAGTTGTTATATGAGAAGATTCTAGAGTCTTCTCCAAGTATCCACTAGCGCTGATTAGATATAAAAATAGCCATTCAGGGTGCACCAACACAATACTGCACTGAGTGTGCTTTAATCCAATCTTTATTCTGCTAATGGCTCCCCTTTGAGCAGATTCGTAGGATCTGGTGCTAGGGTTCAACTGCAACCGCGTGACTGACTTGTGCATTCGATTCATACATCGTCTAGGCAATAAAGAAATGGTATCACTCTTTTCTTGCACAGAAATCGGATGTATGGATTTACACTTTTCTTCACGTGGTTGGAAACCATACTCTAACACTCGGTTACGAACCTGATGTAGTCAACTAGGAAGTTCGCTGTTAGTTGAACCCATAACTATGATATCATCTAGATAAGCTGCTGTATCAGATATACCTGTTAGCATCGCATACAATATTTGTTGAAAGATGGAGGGTGCTCTCTTCATGCCAGATAGTAGCTGGGTGTATTTAAATAACCCTCGATGAGTGTTAAGGGCAAGAAGCTTTCTACTGTCTTCATCTACTTCCACTTGTAGATAGGTATTGGAAAAGTCTATTTTCGCGAAACATGTTCCACCATTAAGCTTAACAAACAGGTATTCAGGAACCGGTAGGGAACATTGACATACATCCAATGCAGTATTTAAAGTGGTTGAGAAATCGGCACATATGTGCTTAGTTCCATTGGCCTTTATAATCACTGCGATCGGTGCGGCCCGTGAAGAGTAATTGACTGGTTGGACTACATCAGCTTGTTGCAAAAGATTGAGTTCCTGGTCGACTAATTCAAGAGCAGCACACGGTACAGGACGTCTCGGTTGAAAAATAGGTTTGGCATCTGGTTTCACTGGTAAGTGAGCTTTCATCTTGATACAGTGGCCAAGGCTATTCTGAAAAACAGGCAAACTTCCTCTTCAATTTTTCTAGCAACCTTTCAACTGTCTTTCTTCAAGTACCGGGGTATCCAATGATGAACACGACACGTTGCAGACACTGTTAATCCGTTATTTCAAGTTTTTCTAGCATATCTAAGACCAAGGTTTGGCAGCTTTGTTAAATAACGTATTCCTGTACAGTTAGTTCCATTGTGAGAAAATTCACATTGTAATTTGCCAACCAGTTTTAGCACTCCTCCAGATTCGCTTTTAGCAGTTTCGTTACATGGTTTCATTGGTAGTTTCCCAAGCAGGTTATACGTTTCTCTAGACACTGGGATGAAATCAAATGCCGTGTCAATTTGAACACGAGCTAATATACCGTTAATCTGGATAGTAGCATGTCATAGTATGTTTGAAAGGTTTCTACCACAGAGATTTAGAGTCAGCTGGTTTCACCACATGTTGAGGATGTTTATGTTTGTTCTTGGGCTGGGACTTACAATTTGGTGGACAATGACCTTCTTTATGTCCATGACTGTTGCACACCTGACATTCATGCTTCGTAAATGGACAGAATCGTACGTAATCCCAATCACTGCATTATTATCAGGCAGTCGTTGGTTTGTTACAAGCTGTTATTGGCTTCTGAGATTTCAACCTAGTAATAGCATTGATACTATTTATTTGAACACATAAATATTGGTAAAAAAGGACACCAAATACATATGTGCCGCATAAGTCACTTGATTTTTGTGTGGGCTGTGATACTGTCCGGGTGCCCAGATCGAAGCAGGTGGTTTTATTAGAAAGCCACACCCGGAGCCTTTGACCTAAAGATCTGATCCACAAGGCAGTGGAGCAACGTCAGGAGATACGGTCCAATGGTAGCTGGTGACCGACAATTATTTCATACCCCATTTGTCCCCTGACGATCCTGGAGCTCATGTGAACAATTTGTTCGCAATCAGGATTCTCCAGCTCCCTTAGACCTTCCATACGCATTGACACTACTGCAGGTCGTGTCTGATGTTTTGTAGCCGTTTACACTAATCTGTCAACGTCCTGAGTGTGATGTTTCGAACTTGATCCAGTCGAGTCAAAAGTCTAGTTTTAATCTCAGCATCTTGTGATGACTGGAGAGCTTTGAAGAATATTAGGCATTCAAATTGGTATTTTGTCAATGAGCGCAACTTGAACCGTTCACAATCTCTGTTGACGACAAAAGGGTCGGGATTGATTGTCAAGTATTAAAAATGCTTGAACCAAGAAACGCTAGCTTGGTTATGTTTCCAAATTGTAGTCATTATTGGCGGTACACATATAGCTGATATGGCCAACGGTGGAGAGAAGCGTCTCTCCCTCTTAAAGCACTCTCACATGACCATGTGTTTATAACCCGTGACAAGGAAGTCCTACTCATGCGGCGGATATGATGTTTGAGAAATTGAGAGGACGAGAAGCGAACGTTCGGTATTCACACTGGGCTGACGAATACCAAGGGTCCATGGTGTACATAAGCTCCGAGATCCTGGGGCAGTCTTGCCCAAATGCCCTAAGGATTAAACCTTTAGATCGAAGTCTCGGATAGTGGCCCTCTAAGGAAGCAGATTGTTTCGGTTTGAACGTATAGGAAATATCCCAGTCCAAACGTTTTGTTTCGTGTGATATATGCTGTTTTCGGTGTCTAGCCATGCCAGATTTTACGCGTATTAAATAGAAATAAATAATCAACCAGTAAAAATTATATCATCTAGTTCACATAGTAAAACCATATTCTCTTCAGATAATGTCTTTGCTTCCTCTCTATTCATCACATCACTAACCTGTAGTTAAATATGCTCGCTAATAAGTCTTAACTATAAGTTGTAAATTAACTTAAAAACTTTGAAACTGATTCAGTAATATTTTTTATATAGTTGAGATCATCAGTCAATTGAAGCTAAACTACCATGGGAAACCTGGAAGCACTATTGTGGGACTCCTAAGCAGTGCGCATCCACGATCCCGCCTTGCGAGTGAGATTCCAATTCAGGACCTACCAGTTTCGCGCCAGAACACTTAACCAATAGACCACTGAGCCGGCATCCAGCGGTGTTAATGTCTAACCTCAACCAATCCACGAAATAATAATTGTCCAACATCTATGAAAACTGATAATCGTAGTCATCATAAATCAATATTTGGGAACCAATGGAAATTTCGACAGAAAAGTCAATTATCAGACTACATCTCAATGCTTCATATAATTAAACACCCTGTAACGAGATATTTAGAATAGCCAAGAAAAAAGTTATTCGCTATCCAACTGAAAGTATGGTAGTACCGGTTGACTTTTAACATCAACACTCTTGTCATCTAAATATAAAATGGAAGAAAAAGCAGCCAAGTAATCTAAAATTCATTCTAATCGTTTTAGTGAGGGTCAGGGAGATAAATACAAAAATGATTGTGATTATTATTATACAAATGATTATGTACTAGTTTTATTCACAGCAGTAGTAGAAGTATGTGTTACGTTGTTATGTGTCGCAAGTTGATCAGCTTTTAATAGGAATTCTTTTGCTTTCAATTCATCTATTTCAACACCATCACCATTGGAGTACATTTTTGCAATATTACGACAACAGAGTTCATGACCCAATTTACAACCCTCCATCCATGCTTTGAATGCTTCAACACGTAGACGATTACTATCATTACTACCAGTAGGATTAGGAGACTTTTCTGAATTAGTTGATTTGTCATTATCTTTAGCTAATACCATTGCTGCACCACCAAGATGAAAACAACTTTCTGGTACTTTATTTTGACAACCTAATTCGAATAGTGGCATTGCAACAGATAAATTTGGTGCATGACTAGCTATACCATCAGCAACTAGGCGCCCAGCAGCCTGTTTCATAAAAGGAAAATAGAAGGCAGAAATTTGTTTTACAGAAAGTGAATTTATCAAAACTACGGTAACTATTAAGAGCTGATGGAGTAAAAGTCTTATAAAATATTTGCTTAGAAAAATGCTACAGAAGATTTGCAGCTCAGATATATGCTTTTGGCAATACTGTAGTGGTTGGTACTATGTCAAGCTAGATTTCAACCTCCTCACCTATTCGCTTATCAACCCTGACTGTTTTTATACGATCGTATGTGTATAGATTGATTACCCTATTCATTACGTGTCTGTAACTTATTTTTTATCTGACTATAAATATTGAATCACGTTTGGTTAAATCAAGTTTAAATCAAATTGCGCATCATTTCGTCTTGCATTGTTTGCCTGATTGTCTGTTCAGATCAATGAGTGTACGAAATAAACATATTCAAAATCCGGCCTAGTATTTAATTCCCTTATTCACTAACGCGAATTAAGTCCATAAAAAATATACGACGGTAGCTGAGATGTACATTTTGATAACAATCAAAATACGACCTAAATGTAATCAGATTTAGAGCCACTAAAATATTGTGTTCACGGAGGCAGATGGTTTAACTGTGATCTCATCGTCATTCTGGACATCTTCAGCACTTATCTAACGCAAAAGGGAGCCTTTCAGTCCCGTACATCATCAGTGGAATAACTGAGAAGCTCACTTTTACATGAAGCAGATGCTGAATACGTCCAGGATTACAATGAAGGAACAGAAATCGGAAAAGTCAGTCATTTATTTTCTCGGGAAATCTTCAACCAGAATCAACTATAAGCAATGAATATTCAAGTTGCTAGTCTGAGGTTTCTAAACTATGCAAAACAGACCTCATTCTGATAACAGTAGTAACAAATAAACTTGTGGTGCTGATCTGACTACTTAAATCCTGTCTGATGGCTAATGTTAAGGCTGAGAACAGGAATGTTGAGTCGTTATATCTGTGAATACACCGTGGTGTCATACCAGGCACAAAGCTTGCAACCGATTAACCAATTGTTTGCATTTTTCTGTCCAGTTAATGATAGTATACTAATGTATTTATTCACTGCCTCAGTTACCGTGGTACAGCCGAGAGTGGGGAGAGTTCCTTCTCTCTCTAGAAATGCTCTCACATGGTTACACGTATACATTCTCTGCCAGGGAATTCCTACTCACTGCCTTCTCGTGGCGGGGGTGTTGTTTAAGAAATCGAGGACGAAAAGCGAATGTCCGGCGCTTTAGCTGGGTTGATGGATACAACGGACTCACTTAGGGTAGTTGGAAAACTCTGATTCCAAACGAATGGTGCACATGGGCTCCAGTATCCTGAGGAAACAAGTGGCGTATAAACCTATTGTTGGTCATCGGCTTCCAAGGGACTGCATCTCAATGACGTTGCTCTACTGCCTTTTGGATTAAACCTTCAGGTCAAAGGTTCGAGGAGTGGCCTCCTAAGAAAACCACCTGCTTCGGTTTGGGCACCCGAGCAGTATCACAGACCTCACACAAATCAAATTAGATTTGTGTGGCGCATATATATATCTACTTCCGATTGCGTCTAAACTATCGGCTTCTGTCATTCTTCGTAGGTTGTTGAAAATCCGAGATTGTGTCACGAAGAGCAGGTTGGTTTTCGTTCTGGTCGAGGATGTATTGATCACATCTTCAGCCTCTGTTAAATGTTTGAACACCGTCATACTTATCACGGGCCGACAATCGTAGTGTTTCTTGATATTAGAGCTGCCTTTGATTCGCTGGGCAGGACTGTTCTCTGGGATTGTCTTTTGAAGAAGGGTGTGTCTGAGAATTTTATTAACATCTAAAATGCCCTGTATACAAACACCTCAGGCAGAGTGAGGGCATACAACCACTTTTCTCCATTGTTCCATTCAAGCAGTAGGGTTAGGCAGGGTTGCTCAGTCTCTATGCTTGTGAAACCTGGCCTCTCCGAGTTGAGGATGTTAGATGACTCTCTGTGTTCGACCATCGTTGTCTCCGAAGGATCGCTGACATCCAGTGGCAACACCATGTTAGTAATGCAGAGGTTCGGCATCGTGTGTTCGGGCACAGAGAGGATAATCCAATTAGTGTCGCCATAATGAAACATCGACTTCGGTGGCTTGGACATGTTTTACGAATGTCGTCCCAGAGGCTTCCACGTCGTGCATTATTTGCCGACGCTGGGACTGGTTGGAAAAAGTAGAGAGGTGGTCATTGTATGACATGGTGTGGTAAGAAAGAAAGCTGCAAAGGGCTAGCTTCTGTTAGTCCTTCACGACTCCCTGGCTGGGGTCCGAGAGATGGTGCATCACTGTGGCTAGAGACGTTATCAGATATGGCTTAGAATAGAAGCCAGTGGCGATCCTGCCGTAACATTCCCTTACTTTTTTCATAAAAAGTGGTTGTAAACCCTTTAACTGAAAGAATCCTTCTAGTTGTACCTTCTCGTTTCCCCCATTATTATTTTTATTATTACACTGATAAACACTAACCCGTGGTTGTTATTGTTCTTTCTTTTTTTCCTTATGCGCACCTTGACTTCTTTTTCTCTTCCCATTCTCATTCCTCTGTGTGGTGCATATATATCTGGTGCCCCCTTGTACTAATATTTATGTGTTCAAATACATAACATAAACAAATAACCACACTAGGGATAGGGTAAAAAAACACAAGCGAAGCACATAGGTAACAGCGTTCATTTAAGCAGAAGGATGGAAACAGGAAACTAGCAACGTAAGATATTTAGGCTCGAAAGACACTAAGCTCAAGTCTATATAAAATAAATTACTCAGGTAAGTTATACGAGTTATTTTAGGGATTCCGTATTTTCAACAGATTAGGTAGTTTGTTTTCTAATATACTGTCCAAATAAATTACATCCCCTTGTTACTACTGTGACTGGATCAACTCCGGACAACTAATCAAGTGCGGTCACGAGCCTCACTATTATATAGTTTTATAGTGGGGTTTAAGTAATCTATGTGGTCCTCGTGTTCATATTACGATGAGAATTCACTATCTGCGTGAGCATCGGTTAACCGAAAGTCCTTGAGATATAATTGTTTTTGATCTATTCAAGATGCTTTAATCGTTTCAAAATCTTTTGACCCGAATATTTCACTGAAAATTGTAAAAAGGTCCATCAACAAACCGTTTTTATTTATTCATTTATTTAAACATATAAATATTGGTACAAGGAAGCACTCATTATATTTGTGTGAGGGCTGTGATACCGCCCAGGTGCCCAAACTGAAGCAGGTGGTTTTCTTAGGGGACCACACCCGGAGCCTCTGACCTAAAGGTCTGATCGACAAGGCAGTAAAGCAACGTCGGGAGATGCAGTCCCATGGTAGACGGCGACCAACGATTGATTCATACGCCATTTGTTCCCTTAGGTAACTGGAGCTAGGCCATGTGCACCATTGGTTTGGAATCAGGGTTTTCCAACTCCCCTAGGTGGACTCTCCGTGTCCACCAACCCGGTTAAAGTGCCGGCATTCGCTTTTCGTCCTCTCAATTTCGTAAACAACACCCCCACCACGACTTGAAACACGTTCAACATATGGTATCATGAAATAGTAAGCTGGGAAGGGACATAGGGAGGTGATATTTTGGTGTAATACTACATACTGAACTTGAACTAAACATTAAAGTACATATAGGAAGAAAATCTTTTAAGAAGTAGATAGCTATACTAAGGCTCATGCGGATTAATGAGATTTACACCATATGTGGTGAAAATATGATCTAAACCTTTTCAAAAACTTGAAATTTGTCCAGTAATCTATACAATTAACAATTTCTTATTCCAAGATCAGTTATCACAGCAGAAATTCAATCATAGCACGGGCGACAAGATCATGACTATCTACAAAGTGAAATATAAACATCATTTAAGTGTGTTCTTGACAATTCATAAGAATTAAGAACTCAAGATCGCCGCCCCATTGTTGTCAGATAAAGTGGCGAGATAACTTTTTCTTTGCAAACAGTGTTTTGTCATCTGAATGGTAATGCAGATTAAACAGAAAGATATTAAATATTTGGCCTTAAAAACTCATAGACAAAACTTTCAACATACTTGACAACATTTCCCCTGTTTTCCTGCCTTACAACCATGTTCGAATGCACGGAAAGCCTCGACTGGATCTCGCAATATACCTCTATCGCCAATGACTTTTAATGACCCATATCGATAGCAACTGTCTCCATAATTACGCTTGAAGCAATTTTCTTTCAGAATGTCTGCACCGTTGGTAACTAGCTTTTTATAATTACTGCACCATAGTGCCCATGAATGACAACCTTTATGAAAACTTTAGAGAGTTGAACACAACCTACTCACTGACGGGATTGTTTTCACGTATACAACTATATTCAAAACCCAATCCCAGATTTTTCATGTAGTCATGCATTTCCTCGGGCGTCTTGAAGCTTAAAATCCCGGAATCAGTCATTTCTAGACTAAAGCAAAATATGCAATAATTAGCAAACATTGGTGGCTGTTGTTCTTTAAGGGTTATTATTAATTAAAACAAGTTATGGATTTGGATCACAACATATATGTTAAGATATGAATGGTGTTATGGGTCCGAAAACTTAGTTTATAATGTGCATTTGTTGCCGCACCTTCCTGACGATGTTCGTGCATTCCCCTTCGAGACAAATCAAGAAATCAGTGTATAGCGGGTATGCTGTTGCCAAGTAAGCAACTCAGCGTTTCGGAGAGAAAATGTTTTTCTGTGATAGGCTTCAAGTGAACATTTCGATTCATAGTACCTCAATAGCCGGTAAGGTGGACCCATTCAAACAAGAATACTAAAATAACTTTGTTTCAGCCGGATAATGTGGTACTAGTACATGGAAAGCCTCATTTAGTCACTGATGTAAGGGAGAATGGATTAATGAAATTCAAGTAATTCACAGACTCATGCAATTACTTTAAAGACCACTTCTTTCCTAGTGATATAAGAATATTCATGTGCTTGGTGGTTAGTCATGAACACTAATGGGTTTCCATTAAGGATATTGGCCGTAAAAGTATTGCCCTTAATTGTGTTCATTATTTAGTTATTGTTCCATTGTTACATACTTTTATGTGAATGTATTTTGTTTTACTTGTACTGAAAGTATGACCATAAACCATTTCCTTACCCACTATGTAATATTTTGCCCTCTAACAAACAATACTTGATTGCAGACGTACCAAGCAAGAAGCAGCTTTTGACTGCAGCCAAGCAGTGTGTTGTGGGGAAAGAACTTTGTTTCTAGCCAACTCTGGTGTCTCCTCATTTGAGGATAAATCTTTCTCCTTTTACTAAAGATTTCCGTGAGGAGGTACAATACAATGAGTCTTATCTCATTTCCTCCTACTTCGTCTGCGCACGGAGTATTATTTTCCCCCAAATGCCCTGGTACGACCGAGAGTGGGGAGAGTTCGCTATCCCTCTAGAAATGCTCTCACATGATCACATGCAGACAACTACTCCCAGGGAAGTCCTACTCACCGCCTTTTCGCGGCGGTTGTTTACGAAAATGAGAGGACAAAAAGCGAATGTCAGGCGCTTTAACCGGGTTGGTGGATATGAGGGGTCCACTTGGGGTAGTTAAAAAACTCTGATTCCAAACGGATGTTGCACATGGGCTCCACGATCCTGACGGAACAAATGACGCATAAACCAACTATCGGTCACCGGCTACCATGAGATTGCATCTCCTGACGTTGATCCACTACCTTTGTTAGCGGGACATGGATTGGATTAAAGCATGTTTCATGCATGATGGTGTTGCTGCGCACTGATTGGCTAATTCCAAACCAATAAGCCCTGGCAAATTATTGGAGAAAAATCTAGAAGCTTCTTATTTATATACTATAAATATATGAACGTTATTCAAACTAGTGATTCCTGTTCAACGTGCTCTGATTTTGGGGTCTTGTTGAATGTCATTGTATAAGAATACTAAGCAATAGGAACAGCTGGGTCGTTTATATAGTAAAATACAATTATAACAACCTTGTGTATTAGACCTCTAAGTCAAAAGATCGGGGTGTGGCTCCCTAAGAAAACCGCCTATTTTGGTTTGAGCACTCGAATAGTATCCCAGCCCTTACACATATCGAATGACTTATGTCGAGCATATCTATTTGGTGCCTCCTAGTACCAATGTTTATGTGTCTAAATAAATAAACTATCCAACGGAGCTTTTTGATATGCAGATGCAAAACAGTGACAAACCTAATGACAATTGGTCAGTCCCGAAGTGTAAGGTTATACACGAGTGCGGTGAGTCACAAACATAAAAACGATCATTACCTATAGATAGCCTCCAGTCTGCAAAGGACTTGTTGGTTTCCTTCAAAAAATTAGATGTTTACCGTACAAACAGTTCGACGGACGAAAACACCTTGCCACTAAACACTGAGAAGTCAAAGAGGTCAGTACAATAATCTTAATAATATTTTGCGAAGGTGCATTGAAACGGAAAGAAGGGTTTCCTTTCAATTCCGTTGACATGGATGTGGCTGAGATACAGGCTGGAAATAGCCACGTCCAATATCCTAAATTTCGGTTATTCGACAGTGTGGCCTCGCCGATTGTCAAGTAGGCTTCTTTACTTTGTAGATGTGACTTAGGTAGTTCGACACAATTGGATACGTTGCCATCAACGTCCGAATCTAGGCGTGTAGGCAGTGCATTATCGGCTGAGTAAGCCACTTGTACGATCAAGTTGAGTTTTTCAAATTTGATAGACTCCATACTGTGCTGCAGAACATATCGTCAGGTATTTCTGACTTGAGTGCAAATATGAAGTCTGGTGAGCGTGAACATCCACGGAAATTTGATTGCGGACTATTAAGTCAACAGTTCCCTTTGTCATCTGAAGAGGAACTGGGAACATTGAGCACTTGTCTTCAGTAGGAAGACATAAGGGACAGATTTGTAAGTCAACAAAACTAATTTGACCATTTGCTCGTATTACAGATGGCCATGTTGAAGCGTTTAATGAATGATAATCCTAAAACGTCGGTGTACTATGTTTTGTCATACATCATGACACCTGAAGTTGCCAGTCATTTCACGCTACTTCAAACTTCATCGAAAAAAGGGCACTTCAGAAGTGCAGGTTTTACGGCCACATACGAAGTAGGATGTAATTTTTAAACTTCGGGTGTATTAACTAATCGGTTCCTGTCATCGCTGGTCAACGAAAAAGACCTTGCGAAACTGTACGACATCGCGACACAAGGTTGTTTTCACGAAATGAGAGACAAATTACAAAAGCGTCATCGAAGAAAATCAGAACATGTATGTAGTAATTTGAAGTGATAACTATTATCTAGTGTTCTATAGGTACAGTATTCAGTGTTAACTAATATAAACGTAAGTAAAGCTTCACGTAGGTAATTGTGTAAAAAAATATAATTTACATAACACTGTAAAGTTTTCTTTAAATTTCAGAATTCCCAAGATTATTTTGATTCTCAACAGTCGAACGGGTGTTACGAAGAGAAATAATCTGTGGAATGTTTATTATGTTCGACACCGTTTGCAATAAATGTTTTTTCAAACATGTGCTTACTTTTCTATTTGCATAGGAAACTTTTGACTAAGTTTTGAGAAAGCCTATTTGATTTTAAATGCACTTGCAATTAAGTACAAGTGCCTAATTAATAAAACACAACCTGTTTTTGTTCTTTTGTAGATCTTTTCAAATTACAACCATAATTGGCAAATACAATTAAAATACATAATGATTGATGCTCTAGCATCTGCCAACTGCTTATAATGCTGCAAAATATGACGTTTTTCTTTTCAATACATTTTTAACGTCGATTGCAATTGTTGTGTGGTGTTATGGAAATAAAGGGGAACACAAGAGACATTTAGGGTTATGCCAAAGGTGTGTTAAAAGTTTGATCAAAATTAGATGGATCGGTGTATATTGAAGAGAAAAGTAGATAATTCGACGTAAATTTAAGCGAAAAGTAGGTAATTCAATGGCACTTAAGACACAGAGACATTAAGGGGGAAATCCGCAATATTTTCCCCAGGCAGGCGAAAAAGACATTTCGGCACGATTCCTCATTATTTCGCCTTCACACTCATTTACCCCTTTTTTCCTTGAGTACGTGCACAGTGGAATTGCAATACCGTCCAGCAAAATCAGTGACCTACTAAACCTTCTAATATAGTCAATGAGCATAAATACTGAGCTAAATAGTGAGTAAACAGTTAATATTTTACTCACTATTGCCTAATTGGGCAAGCTTTGAATGGAAAAAAAGGTTTATGCGAAAGTCAATCTCATCTTTTACTGAATCGCCCAAGAATGTATTGAATTCCATCTGATAAAATCTTAGAGACTGAAAAATTACCACACCATCAAAACATACTTGTGAATACAAAACAGGTCTTACTGGCACGGTAAAAAAAAAGTCAGAGCTTTTCAAAGCCGCCCGCCGTTTCGTTTTAACTACCTTGGACGACCTGACAAGAGGCGGTCATTCCGCATTTCAGTCGTTGAGTGTTTGTTGAGTGTCTTTTGAGTGTTCTTTGGATTGAACGAACATCGGGTTTTCTCATATTTCAGCCTTGTTTTGCTACAGCAAATTCTCAAAATCAATGCGAAAAGTGTTAATTTAGCTTTCTGTGTTTTGTAGTGTATAACTTGACTCTTTCGTTGCTTCGTAACTTGACCTGGTATACCAATTACTCGATTAGTTGTAAATTGCGCATTCGCAAGATGTTCAAACCTTAAGCTTTTCTTCCGGGTGATAGGATGATCATGAATACGGTACGATAGGCTTCTTATATTCTTTCTGAAAGTGAAGGGTGAAACAAGCCGGTTAGTAATGATCCTGTTAATTTTGAAGTTACACCAGGAGTAATTACTCGTAATACCTACAGAACTTATTTGAATCTTCAAATGGTTTTGGACGGAATAGAAGCTTTCGATTAACGGGATTCTGTATCTAGTAGCAGTTGATCACCGATGACCCCAGGTAAGGACCTAGATATATAGACGATTCAAATGGTTCAAATGGTTGAGGACGGAATAGAAGAAGCTTTCGCTTAACGGGCTTCCGTGTCTGGTAGCAGTGGATCACCAATACCTCCAGGCAAGAACCTAGGTAAATGAACGATAATAGAGGAAAAAAGAGAATTTGGTAAATCATAATAATATGTTATCCTTAGTCCTTAAGAATAAGTCAAGTTTCCTCTTAAAGGATTTCTGGGAGGTCACTTGGACTAGCTCAGTCGGCAGCGAATTCCAGCACTTGACAACTCTAAAGGAGTAGAAGTTGTGTCTACAGTCTGCTCTGCTATGTAGGGTCTCCAATTTCTGGGTGTTACGTCTTGGGTTAGTGTTATGACTAAGCTTAAGAAGATGTTTAAGGGGATGACCAGAAGTATTAAGGATACTATAAGTCATAAGAAGATCACCTCTAAGACGC